AGTAAGTTCTTTAACCCTCTGTATGCCTCAAGTGACTCTTCTGTAAAATGAAGATAATTACAGGATTGATGTGAGGAAAACCCATGTTACTGGAATCCCTGAAGGAGAGAGAGGAGGATCACAAGAAAAAGTATTTGAGGAGATAATGGCTAAAAATTTGAAGAAAAGTATAAACCCACTGATCCAAAAAGTTCAATGAACCCCAAAACAAGAAACAGGAAGAAAACTAAATTAAGCACATTTTAAACAAAACAAAACAAAAACCTGCCAAAAACTACATGAGTGGTTGTCAACCAGAGCTGATTCCTCTCGGCCCCATTCTCCAGGGGACTAATTTAGCATCCTCTGGAGGGGGGAGGGAGAGGCTGTGCTACTGGTATCCAGTCCACAGAGGTCAGGAATGCTGCTCAACACCCTCTAACGCACAGAACAACCCTCAATAAATTACCCTGTTCAAAATATCTAAAGTCTAAGGTTGAGAAACCCCAATGGCTTATAATAATCAAAAGCTCAAGACCTATAATAAAAGGTCTTCAAATTAAGTCCTTATTACATTTTTGCAAATCACTCACCATATTCAAACTAGTAGTAACACAACATGAAATAAAGGTGCTGGGCCCAGCAGAGCCATTTGGAGAGGCTTCTAAAAATTAATGGGCAATGTGACTTTTTAAAAACATGCCTTTAGGCCGGCGCCACTGCTCACTAGGCTAATCCTCTGCCTTGCGGCACCGGCACACCGGGTTCTAGTCCCGGTCGGGGCACCGGATTCTGTCCCGGTTGCCCCTCTTCCAGGCCAGCTCTCTGCTGTGGCCAGGGAGTGCAGTGGAGGATGGCCCAAGTGCTTGGGCCCTGCACCCCATGGGAGACCAGGAGAAGTACCTGGCTCCTGCCATCGGATCAACGCGGTGCACCGGCTGCAGCGCGCTGGCCGCGGCGGCCATTGGAGGGTGAACCAACGGCAAAGGAAGACCTTTCTCTCTGTCTCTGTCTCTCTCTCTCTCTGTCCACTCTGCCTGCCAAAAGCAAAAAACAAAAAACAAAAAACAACAAAAAAAACCATGCCTTTAAATGGTTAACAACATGATAGGTATTCTGAAAGCTCTGTTCTGGGGTCCTTCTGACACTGAGAAAGACAGGAAGGACTAAGCAGGGGACTTAAGTTAAAATCTCATTCAGATCAACAAACACCTACAAAGGATGACCTCCACGGTTGGTACTATGTATGTACCAATGCAGTTCCCAAATTGGTCTCTCCATTTCTGCCATATTATGTCTATTTAATGTAAATTCTATCTAAAGTCACAAAAAGTTTTAAAAGTCTCCACAGGGGCTGTTGCTATGGCATAGTAAGTTAAGCCTCAGCCTGTGGTGCCAGCATCTCATATGAGCACTGGGTTGTTTCCAGGTATTCCACTTCTGATCCAGTTCTCTCTTTATGGCCTGGGAAAGCAGCAGAGGATGGCCCAAGCGCTTGGGCCCCTGAACCCATGAGGGAGACCCGGAGGAAGCTCCTGGCTTTAGACTGGCCCATCTCTGGCTGTTGTGTCCATTTAGGGAATGAACCAGCAGAGGGAAGACCTCTATCCCTTCCTCTACCTTTTACCCCCCACCCCATAACTCTTCCTCTCAAAGAAATAAATAAATCTTTTTTTTTTTTTTTAAATTTATTTGACAGAGTTAGTCAGTGAGAGAGAGAAACAGAGAGAAAGGCCCTCCCTCCGCTGGTTCACCCCACCAAATGGCTGCTATGGCCAATGGAGCTACACCGATCCAAAGCCAGGAGCCAGGTGCTTCCTCCTGGTGTCCCATGCAGGTACAGGGGCCTAACCACTTGGGCCATCCTTCAGTGCAACCCCATCCCCCAGGCCACAGCAGAGCTGGACTGGAAGAGGAGCAACCGGGACTAGAACCCAGCGCCCACATGGGATGCCGGCACCGCAGGCGGAGGAGTAACCAAGTGAGCCACGGCGCCAACCCCGAAATAAATAAATCTTAAAAAAAAAAAAGTCTCCACAAATTCTGGCCATTAGAAAAAGATGGGACTTATGGATCGGACATAAAATAACAAATGGTGATAGGGTATGAGGAATATAACCCAAGACAGGATTCATGCCTATTAAATACCAAGCACTGAACTAGGCACTTTGTATTCATGATCTAACAATCTTCAACTAAATTATTCAGGTTTGATATTATTATTATAATTTTCAGGTCAAATGGAAGAATACATCATTGACTTGCCCCAAATCCCAAATCTAAGAAGTAGTAGTCCCAGAATTTGAACTGAACTCTGTTTTGAAAACCCATCCTTAATCAACACACTAACTATAACACAGAACATAAGATCGCAAGTGTACTTTTATTTAGCTTACTGTTTCAGATTTTTAATTTTTAAGATTTTATTTATTTATTTGAGAGATAGAGTTACAGACAGTGAGAAGGGTAGACAGAGAGAGAGGTCTTTCATCCGTTGGTTCACACCCCAAATGGCCGAAATGGCCAGAGGTGAGCCTATCAGAAGTGAGGAGCCAGGAGCCTCCTCTGGGTCTCCCACGTTGGTGCAGGGGCCCAAGGATTTGGGCCATCTTCCGTTGCTTTCCCAGGCCATAGCAGAGAGCTGGATCAGAAGAGGATCAGCCGGGATTAGAACTGGCACCCAAATGAGATGCCGGCGCCACAGGTGGAGGATCAACCTACTGTGTCACAGTGCCAGCTTTCAGAATTTTATTTTTAAGATCTAGTCACAGGGCCAGCACCATGGTGTAGCAGGGAAAGCCGCCACATGCAGTGCTGACATCCCATATGGGCGCCGGTTAGAGACCCGGCTGCTCCACTTCTGATCCAGCTCTCTGGTATGGCCTGGGAAAGCAGTAGAATTTGGCCCAAGTTCTTGGGCCCCTGTACCTGCGTGGGAGACCTGGAAGAAACTCCTGGCTCCTGGCTTTGATTGATGCAGCTCCTGCTGTTGCGGCCAATTGGGGAGTGAACCAGCGGATGGAAGACCTCTCTCTCTCTCTCTCTCTCTCTTTCTCTCTGCCTCTGCCTCTCTGTAAGTCTGCCTTTCAAATAAATAAATAAATCTTTAAAAAAAAAATTTAGTTACTGGGGCCAGCACTGTGGTGTGGCAGGTAAAGCTGCCGCCTGTGGTGCTGACATCCCATATGGGTGCCAGTTTGAGACCTGGCTGCTCCACTTCCAATCCAGCTCTCTGCTATGGCCTGGGAAAGCAACAGAAGATGGCCCAAGTCCTTGGGCCTCTGAACCCATGTGGGAGACCCAGAAGAAGCTCCTGGCTCCTGGCTTCAGATTGGTGCAGCTCCAGCCATTGCGGCCACCTGGGGAGTGAACCAGCAATGGAAGACCTCGCTCTCTCTCTCTGCCTCACCCCCCCCACCCCGTGTAACTGTTACTTTCAAGTAAATTAAATAAATATTTAAAAAAAGACTTAGTTATTTATTTGAAAGTCAGAGTTAGAGAGAGAGAGAGACAGATCTTCCATCTGCAGATTCATTCCCCAGATGGCTGTAATGGCCAGGGCTGGGACAGGCCAAAGCAAGGAGCTTCATCTGGGTTTCCCACATGGGTGGCAGAGGCCCAAATACTTGGGCCATTTTCCACTGCTTTCACAGGCCATTAGCAGGGAGCTGGATCGGAAGTGGAGGAGCTGAACAAGAACCAGTGCAGATATGGGATGCCAGCATCACAGATGGTGGTGTTAGCTGCTGCGCCATAATGCCAGCCCTTCAGATTTTCTTAACAAATCAATGTACATTTTCATTGTCAGAGCACTGGGTCACATGGATTTTTGAAAAAATTTACTTGAACAGCAGAGACATAGACAAGGAGTGACAGAGAGAGAGAAATCTCTCATCTGCTGGCTCAATTCTGAAGCGCCTGCAATAGTCAGGCGTCAGGAACTCAGTCTGGTTTCTCCCATGTGAATGGCAGGGATTGAGTTACTGGAGCCATCACCACTGCCTCCCAGGGTCTGCACTGTCAGAAAGCTGGAGTCAGAGAGTCAGAAGCAGGAACTGGATCCAGGCACTCGGAAAGGGGTTATGGGCATCTTAACTGCGAGGCTAGAGATGCCCCCTCCCCACTTCAGGTAGAGAGGTATGAGCATACATTTTGCTTAGTTTTTCTGAATGGTTAAACAGTTGAAAAGAAATAAAAATAAAAAGCCACTTTGAATAGCATACTCATCAACAAAGTCATTTAGCTTACAAAATCAAATTCAGAGCACTCTAAATGAGTCAAATTTGAGTTTAGTATCATCACAATTAGAACAACTATGCCAATTTTCTTCTTCAGTGGAGGAAATGATAGGTCAAAATGTGTTTTAGGGGCCAGTGCTGTGGCACAGTGAGCTAAGCCTCCGCCTGTGGTGCTGGCATCCCTTATGGGCACTGGTTTGAGCCCCGGCTGCTGTTCTTCTGATCCAGCTCTCTGCTATGGCCTAGAAAAGCAGTGGAAGATGGCCCAAGCGCTTGGGCCCATGCACCCATGTGAGAGGTCTGGAGGAAGCTCCCGGCTGCTGGCTTTGGATCTGCCCAGCTCCAGCCATTGCGGCCATCTGGGGAATGAATCAGTGATGGCCTATCTCTCTCTCTGCCTCTCCTCTGTCTGTAACTCTACCTCTCAAGTAAACAAATAAATAAATAATCTTTTTAAAAATGTGTTTTACTGAAGTAGTTTTCAGTAACATTAGCCAAGGTTACAGGAGCAGGCAATGCCGCATGATTTATCTTGTTAGAATACAGAGCTTCAGACAGTTAAACACAAACACGACTTCACAGTATTTTATGTTTAACTTTACCTGAAAACTTCAGTATTCTTTTCCTCCTTTTTCTCAGGTGGTTCTAAACATGAGTTATAGAGAATTCAAAGACAAATGAAATTTTATGTAATGTAATTTGCTTTCCCTTATAATCAATTTAACTCTTTTTATAGCCCTATATGTTTCCTACAAATAAATGAAGGAAAAAGTTTATACTTACTGGAGAGAACAGTTGTAAGGAAAATGTAGTCTGAAAAGGATATGAGCCCACATTCTCCAAGGGCGTAAAATATGCTGCCTTCATCAGCAAATTTTTCTCGTTCTTGGGATATTTTCTATTAAAAGTATGGTTCCCACCAAAAGATAAAAAAGAAGATATAAATGAATTAGAATATAAACAGTTAGAGAGGAATCATCATTTGTTGCAGTTTTATCCTAAGCATTTCTCTGATGGCCATTCAAAATCAATGGATCCTTTACAGTTTTCAAGATTATGAAAATTCTAAGAGAAAAGTTATTTTTTCATTTCAACACTGCTTCAATAATAATATTAAAAATAACTTCAATTTTATCACTCTCTGCTACTGAACATACAGGAGTACAGGTCTGCACAGAACTGGCTTCATTCCTTAGCTTTAAAAAGCATTCACTTTCTTCTATAGAGGCATGTTATATAGAAAAAAATTAAAACAAAGAAATGAAAAAACTAAAAGCAAATAATTTCTAATTGCTCAAGAAAAACTATACCGCCAATGATCACAAATCAAGAGAAAAGCAGCGAGTTTCCAGGCCCATTGAAATTCTTAGAAAACTAATTTATAAAATGATGTTTAACTTTTTAACATGCAATCCTAACGATCTTAATTCCTGGTATACAGAATAATACGTGGTGTAAACAGCGTCTCTGAAATATAATGCCAAATCACACTCGCACAGCAAGCTTCAGGCATAATTAGTCATGTCTACCATTGCCTTAGTAGAAGCTCCTAAGTTTCAAATATTTGAAGAAACTTCCTCCCAAAACTTAGCTCTTATTCTAAATCTATGAGAGGCTTCAAAAGTTCATGGAAAAATCACACTATCTTTTCATTTCCTTTTGCCATGAATCATTTCAAGCCCCCTCCTGTGTTTCTTTTCTTTAATCTGTAAGTTGCATACAGAAAATTCATTCTTAGCTTCAGTAATGGCCTGTCTGGCAAGTGGTCTCCTCCTAGGTGTTTAACTAAACCTATCCTGCTTTCTGAATTCCTAGCCAAAGCATAAACTTAGTGGTGACATTGATGATATTTTCAAAAACTGAAAAGGATCCACTAAAGAGTTAGACTTGGAGCTAACTCCTGCAAGTTCTGGACCAACCAAAGATATTCAAGGACTTATTCTGAGTGCCAAAAAAAGGTACAGGAGGTTTTAGGAACCCAAACCAAGGCAGCACAATTAAAGTAAGAAAATCATGCAGGCACACGGTAAGAGGCAGCATCGCAGGCATAACCGCAGGAGGAGTATCATGAGAACTGAACCAACAAGCACCATGACACCAGCATCCAGGGACACAACTATCCAATGGGTTACCTCTGTCTAGTGGAGATCCCATCATACATCACAAAGGAAAGAAAACTGGTTAACCAATTGAAAACACAAGGACCATGTGAATCATCATGAAGTCAGTTTGCATAATCTTGTGAAACCCATTCAAAATGGCCTCTGCTAGTAATATGCTTTTTCATAAAAATATAGTAACCACAGACAGGTAAAAACCCACAGCTGAATGCCAATATAGCTGTACTAGGTTGTGACGGCAGCTTGTACTTGTATGAAAGGGCTTCTCTGGCTTCATTTATGGCTGACAGGAAATATGGTCCCCCTTGACAGCATTTGGAGATTACTTCTTTGAGCTGACAGCAAAAATGAGCATGTTGTCTACTATGCTCTAAGACTGCATCTTAACACCATATGTGATCTTCTACCAAGAGAGCTAATATAAATACCAGACTAAAAAAACTATTGAATAAGAACCAGAACAGTAAAGCTATTCACTAGGAAGTTAAATTAGTATTTAAATATCTCAAAATATAAGAAACAGTTACATTTTTATATTACCTAAGATACTGCAAAAGTGAAGTATGTGAATAATATACCATTATTAGCCTGCGAAACAAACATGTATAGAAGTTGAGTAACTAACAATAATTACGTTAAAAACTCATGCAGAGGCTGCTATAGAAATGAAAATGTAGTATTTTGGGAGAAATTTAATAAAAACAGGAATTTTAATATTAATATTGATAAGCATACTATTCTCTAACTCAACCCATTATCAAATTTAGTCAATAATTTCTTTTCTAAGTATTTCCCTTGGTCTAGGCTATAATCCACAATAACAAACTGCAGCTAGTTGTTACGTGACTTGAGTCTCCATGAAACCAGAACAGAATTTCTCTGTTCTTCTTTCTTCCTTTTTAGGTTTCTCATTTATGAGTGTGATAAAATTCACCATGTTAACCATTTATTAACACAGTATGTGGGCCTTTCAATTGACTTCTCTCACTAAACATGTTTTCTAGGTTTACCCATGCTGCAACATGAATCAATACTAATTCCTTTCTACTGCCAAATGCTACCCATTGTTTATATACTATGCCTTAATATTTGGGTTATTTCTACCTTTTGGCTATTTGCATAGGACGACTAATACACACATTCATGTACAAGTGGATGTTGTCACTCCTTTGGACTGCGGGGTCACATGGCAGCTGCTTAAGTTTTTGAGGAATGGCCAAACTGTTTTCCACAGTGGCTGCACCATTTGCATTCTCATCCGCAGTGTAAGAGGGTTACAATTTCTCCACATCCTCAACGCTTTTTGTTTGTTTCACTTTAACCATTCTGTGAGTGTAAAATGATTTCTTATTGTGGTTTGGATTCCTATTTCCCTAGTGCCTAATGATGTTGAGTATCTTCTCATATGCTTGTTGGCCATCTCAGTATCTTCTTTAGAGAAAGGTCTATTTAAGTCCTTTGCCCATTTTTTAATAAGTTATGCATCATTTTGTTGTTGACTCATGAGAATTTCATATTTATTTTGGATACTAGACCCTTATCACATATACAACTTTCAAATATTTTCTCACAAACTAGTGTTGTTTTTTAATTTGGTCATGTCCTGTGACTCATAAAATACATAAATGTTGGTGAAACCCAATTTATCAAATTTTTTTCATTGCTTATATATTTGATGTTGTACCTTAAACTCCATTAGCAAAGCCAAGCTCACAAAGATTTATCAGTATTTTTCTAAGAATTCTATAGTTTTAGCTCTTATTCTTAAGCCACTGGTTTATTTTCAGTTAATTGTTGCACATATGCCAGCACATACTTTATTAATATATTTTTTAAAAGTTATATAATGCAAAGACTATAAAATTTACCACTGTGACCTTTTCAAAGTTTAAGCTACTTAAGCTGTACTCACTTTTCTTCATTCTTTTTTCTCTCTGCCTCAGGCTAGATAACATCAAGTTCACTGATTCTTTGTTCTGCCTATTTAAATCTGCTCAGAAAACTCCTCTAGTGAAATTTTCACTTCAGCTATTATAGTTTACAGTTCCACAGTTTCTATCTGGTGACTTTCTATATTTTGTTTCTCTGTGATAACCTCTTCCACTTCATACATCATTCTCCTTGTTTCTTTTAACTATTTGACTACCATGGCTGATTTTAAGTCTTTAAGTAGGAAGTATAATGTCTATGCTTTCTCCAGAATAATTCTGATTTTTCTTTTTCTTTGTGAGTGGGCCATGTTTTATTATTTCAATGCAAGTATAATTTCTTATTGAAAATGCAGCATGATGTACATAATAATGTGGAAACTATGGAAATGAAATTCTCCCCCTTGTTTTAAGGTGTGTTGTTGCACTCACTGTGGGTTGAAGTTGTTTGTCAGTTAATTTCCAATACTTTTTGTAAAGACTGTGCTTTGTCACACATGGTAACTCAAGTCTATGATTCAACTGGTATTGCAATGGAGATTTCCTTAAATGCCTGGATATAATATTTACTCTCAAGGTCTTAGCAGAATGGCTGGGGCCTAAACGAGCCAGACAAGAAAGCTCATTAGAGCCATCTGAGGTTTCTTCTGAGTACTCATTGAGCGCTGACCCTCAGGATGTCCCAGTACCTGGCGGAGTACTTGAAGGACCTTGTGGGGAGCAACTCGGATTAGACTGTTACTGGAATTAAGACTTATTCTATGCATCTGCTCTCCCACAATATGGCGCTGGGAGAGGAGGAAACAGCTTCTACACAGCTGCCTCCAGTTCAACCAATAAACAGCAGGACCTGCTCCTGATTGGAGGAGAGCAGCGTGCTCAGCGTGTGGGTAGCAGAGCACGGATTGGTGGAGAGGACTATAAAGGAGGAGAGAGACAACATGCACCAGGAACATCTATCTGAAGGAACACCTGTGCAGCCCCCCCCCCCCCCCCCCCCGAGAGAGCCGGCCGGGGGTGTGTCGCTTCCCCCACGGAAGGTGGGGAAAGTTGGCAGGGGGAACCGGCGCCCTTCCACGGAGGTGAAGGAAGGTAGCCAACCCGGGAAGAACCAGCAGCAAACCCGGGAAGGGCCGAGCAGATGAAAGAACAGCGCAGGGTCCTGTGTCGCTCCTCCGCGAAGAGGGGGAGCGACATAATGGTGCCGTGACTCGGATATGAAGCCTAGGCAGGGTTTAGTGTCGTTCCTCCACGAAGAGGGGGAGCGACATAATGGTGCCGTGACTCGGATATGAAGCCTAGGCAGGGTTTAGTGTCGCTCCTCCACGAAGAGGGGGAGCGACAGGACCTGCTCTCCCACGTGTCATTCTGACTAGCCTCTTCCTCCCCAAGCATTTTGGTTGTCGCTGCTTGTTCTCACCTGAATCTGAACTATCTAGCCAAACTGCTCCCAAATTCTTGAGTCACAGACAGCATGAAAAATAATTATTACTGTTTTAAGGTACTAAGCTTTGGATTTATTTGTTACTTAGCAAGTAACAAGCCAGAATGTGACTTGTATTTTTTTTACAATCAAAAGTTTTCAATTTTCAGGAAATCAACTTCCTCAAACCTTTCTTTTATGGTTAATATTTTCATATGCTATCCATCAAATTTTGTTCCCTTTCCAGTCCATAAAAGTATTCTCCTATATTTTCTTTTAAAAGTCTTATAGTTACAGATTTGACACTTAGGTCTATGAGCCATTTCAAGAGAGTTCTGTGTATGGTGAGGTAGAGGGTGAGGGGTTCATTTCAAAAAGCACAGATATACATTTGTTTCTCAACCAATTGTTGAGAACACTTTCTTTTCCCACTGAATTATTTTGTTAACTTTATTAAAACTTGACTTTATAGGTATAAATTATTCTTTTATGGTATTTTCTGCTATTAGTCTATTTTCATTTTGGAGATCTTCTAATTCCTAAAGGAGTATATAACTGTTTTTCAAGGGAAAATAAACAGGGAATCATTTAAACGGTTAAAAAGGCAGCTTGAGAAACTGAGTACCTGATGCATGTGGGGTCATGGTTTAGGCCTGGCCATGTTACCACTATGAGAATTATAAACTCTATAGAAATAATAATGATAATAATAAAGTAAGTGGGTTTTCAATAGCATAGAGATTCTCAGCAATGAATTGGGAGCCAGAATCACGGTGCAGCAGGTTAAGCAGTGGCCTGGGACGCCAGCATGCCATGTGAGCACTGGTTCAAGACCCAGCCCCTCATCTTCCGGTCTGCCTCCCTACTAAGGAGCGAGCCTGAGAAAGCAGCGGAAGATGGACCAAGTACTTGGGCCCCTGCCACTCACGTGGGAGATTAGGATGAAGCTCCTGGCTTTGGCCTGGCCCTGCCCAAGCTGCAGTTACTGGGGGGTGAATGAGTGTATGGAAGATGTTTCTGTCTCTCTAACTCTACCTTTCATATTAGTAAGTACATCTTTTTAAAAAACTTCAATAGATAAATCAGGTATGGTCACGGCTTGCGACCCTGTGTTCCTTAGAGGAGAGATGTTTGCGTAGCCGTAGGTGAGACCTCTGCTGTAGGGAGTAGTGATAGGGAGTAGAAAAGATCAAGAGGGCCAAACTGCTCTGTATAAGAAAAAGCTGAAGAACATACCTGGATGAAAACACACAGAAGAGACAAGGGCTCTTGAAAGGTAAACAAAAAAGAGAAGGAGACATATCAAGAGAGGGGTTGAAAAAAACGAGGAAAGAGAAAGGTACGTGTGTGTGTGTGTGTGTGTGCATATGTGCGCGGACCAGAAAGGGAGCAAAAAGAGAATATGTGTATTTTGCCAAAGATCTTTAAAAATGAAAAAGAAATATATTTAAAGAGGGCTTAAAAATGACTTGTGTGTTGTGATATGCTGTGTAATATAACCTAAGTCTTTAGAAAAGGTCTACATGGTCCCTTCATGACCCTGGAGTCAGAGTGCAAGGGGAAAGGAGAGTAAGTACTTCTATGAACATTTCCGGAAGCATCCACTTGTTGAAGAATGGCTCATTTTAGGATTACACACCTACTTATCAACTTAAGAATTTTAAGTGGATTTGTCCTAGGATCCAAAATGCCAAAAAGATTCTTAGAAAATGCAAGGCATTAATTATCATAAAATCATCAAATTTGGTATTTCAATTTACCTGAAGCTACGAGGAGCACCAAATAAACGTGGAAACTTGGGAAGAAATGGGAGTTACTGAAAACCAGCTTAGAATTTGTGTCTTTTTAAATAAAAAATCTGGTTCTTCCATACATGTTATCCTCAAATGAACTAGCTATGGCACAGAGGGAAGCTGTGAAAATCAGATAAAAAGCCCCCAAATGTATGGGAAAATTGAAAAATCAAGATGGAAGGAAATACAGTACAGATAAGGTTTTTCCTTACTTTTTCTTATTCTAAAATTCATATTAGTGTCAAGTAAAATGTTACTTTACTTAACCTTTTGGATTCTATTTAATCTCTGATTAAGTTTCAAGGCTTTTTTTTTCCTCTTCTAAGCAAACAGGATGCATACACTTCAGGAGCTACAAGGAGGCATCCAAGGCAAACAATTTTCCTTATCAGAGGTAGTAATGTTCATTTTCTCTCACTGCTCCAGAGGTGGTTATTTACATTTTTGTTATTAATTAAGATTTATACCAATATGTATTTTTTTACTAAGAAAATTGAAGGGAGATTTCTATTTAACTCAATATAAGCAGTAAATTCAAAATAAATATAAAACATAATAAATAATATAATAACCACTATATATAATTATTTCATACAATAAATTATAAGAAATATTTTTATATAAAGTCAAAGAAATAGAATACATTTCAATTCTCTTGTTAGGAGTATATGCTGTAAGATTAGGTAATGTATCAGTTCAGTTAAAAAAATTAGTAAGGGATCTATGAAAACTTGTTTCATCTTGAGGTAAGACTCTAACAGTACTTCAGTATATATGCTGAAAGCTATCCAAATAGAACTATTTGGAGACTGTAACTACAGATACCTTATAGGATATTATGCTGTTTTGTGCAGCTTAGAAGTCACATATCAAACTCTATTACAAACACCTGAATTTCTGAAATTAAGGGTGTGAAAGCAGAATGCAAATTACATTATTAGGACAGCATTTCTGGTCAACGCAGGGATAAATGTTATCCTCTTTTAGAGAACAAAATTACACAAAATATTTCAAAGTGATGAGCTTATTGACTTAAATGAACTGTTTATCTAAAATCATTTCATTATTCACTTACATGATGTAGTCTTACTTATATCAAAATTTAAAACTTAGCTATAGAATTAACATCGCTAAGGTATTCAAATTACTAACCTCAAGTAAAGGCAAATAAATACCCTTATAATGGGTTGGTAGTAATCTCAATGATAACATATTATTAACCCTTTTATTTTTTAGATTAAGCAGAAAGACTTCCAAGTAAACTTATTATCATACCCTATTTAATCATTCTACTTCAAAATGAGTCAAAAATTAGCAGTGTTTTACCAGATAGCTTTGTGCTAACTTTGGTTTCTGACCAATCATGTAAACTTTTAAAATGGCAAATGCCATTAGAAGCTCTGGGAGACTTCTCCAATTTATAACTCAACTCTTGGCACCCAGTATGCTCAAACAGTGAATCCTAATTAGTTACAGCATTGATCAAAACAGAGCCAACACTTTTGCCTTGTGAGACTCAACTAGATAAACCTAAGGAGAAAAATTTTATCTAGGAATTTAATATCATTATTTCTTCTAATTAAGACCCACTTTTCAAGTTGTAAAGTTCAAAATAAAATACTTCTAGCTAACAGAAATCAATGGACTATGCAAAATACATACTACATATCATACAGCAACTGAAAACATCTCTGATATAGATAAAATCTGATAAAGAATTCAGCTTTACTATTTAAGATGTCATCATTAAAGAAGTGGAAATCTTATTTTAATATTAACATTTCTTTGTAGTGCTGAAATACATCCCAAAGGCTTTATTTCTAAATACCTTGAATAATATTTGAGGTTGTTATTTCAAAAGCAAAATAATGATAAATTATGCATCTTCCAGAGAATGTAACTTTGGGATACCATTTCCAAATGACAAATAGTATTTCCACCCAAGGTTGGGGTCAGGGCAAGGAGGAAGGGAGTGTTAGAAAGAGAAAGAAAATTCAGCGGTTTTCCCATGCAATTAATGCTCACATCTCGTCATGTACTTGGCGCGTAGACAGATGCCAAAGCTTTGGTAAGATACCAATCTTAAACAATCACAAAACTCCCAATCAAACAGAGACTGTTGCACAGTTAAAATGCACATGTTATTCTTCTTCCCCACACAATATCTGAAGCTGTAGAAAGGTAGAATTTGGAAGTATGTCAGATAAAAATTAAATTGAGATGTTTCTAATTAGAGTAGTTTATGACTTCCCCTTCCAACTCACATTTTCTTCTAAGCTTTTTGAAGGTAATATTGCAAACAAACATAAGTTACTGTGCAACAAACTGTGGAAGGTGAATGCTTAAGATACTGTCCACTTCACTCTGCCAGAAAGCAATTCTCTTTTCAGTCCCAATTCTATCCACCTTAACTCTGAGAGTAATTCCAAATACCTAGAATGCCCATGTTTTCTTATTTCATAATGATTTTAGAGGAAATGACACAAATGAAGATGTTTAAAAAACAACAGTGGCAGATGATTTGATTAAATCAATCACAAAAATTCAAAGAAATTTACTGGAATGACATTGACTTTGAGGAAATGACACAACTCTAGTAGATGATTTTCTTTTAACCCTTAGTATCTGACGAAATAGTATCAAAATTCTAGATGGAGAAAATTATCAACTCTACTTGTCTATCACATTATGACTATGCTCTTGCTTTAATCACCTCTAGGTGGGAGAATCACTGTTTTATCATTTTTGGTCATTTGCTACCGAAATCCAAGCAATGAATACTGAAGTCTGGCCACTCAACTGTATCGGTGTTAAAAAGAACAGTACTGAGCTCAGCAATAGGACATGGAGTATGGAAGCCTTCCCTGCCACTTAATGCTAAAAGCAATCTCAAGTACAAAGTTTGAAAAATAAGTCACACTGAATATAGTAATTTCATATCCCAACTGAAAAAAACTAATCATAAAAATGTTTCAGAAAAAGTTGCTGCTCACACCCTTGATTTAACTGCTCTGGTAGCTATCACCTCCCAGGAAATACTTCAAATGAAGAATCTTTGAATCGATTTTGAAACCAAACATTTATAGGTATCCCCTGGTACCCAACAATGATCATTAAAGACATATCAAGAATTTGAAAATGTTTCTTTGCATATCCTATGCAAGTTACTGTGCCAGGCACATTAACACTAGACTTTTCTCTACTCTACCAGGTAGGGATACTACTATCTGCATTTTACAGATGGAAAAGACTCAGGTTAGATACACAGCCCAAGGCGACAGCATTGTTAAGTGACAGGAAAGGCCAAGGGCTGACTTCAGAGCCCCCACGCCATGAAGTGCTACTTGCTGGGTTGTAGCAAATGCTCAGGAGCAAACCCTGTGTCTACTGTTTACAATTTATGAAAATGTTTGCAAGGACTTGATATTTTTGAAGCACAACTTAGCTAATGTGGAAAAGAACTTGGAGCTAACCTTATACCAGCTAAATTAACTTGAAGGGGAAAGACTGAGCCAGTGATCTGAGTATACTTCTTTTTATACCGTTACTTATCCAAATTCCTATTTTAATTATTCTCCAAATGTGTATCATTTCAAGAATGTAATGTTCTTTACACTCTTCTAATTAATGCCACATAAATCTGTATTTGCAGAGCATTTTTATTCCAGCATAAATTTTTGAAACCAAAGGAAGTTCAAGACAAATACACAAACTGAGAACTATCCTCACCCATTCTCTACCACCAAAGACCATCAGCAGATGTTTAAGCTAAGTTGAGAACCTGTTTTACAAGAATGAAGGAGAAATAATTTGTTTTGAGTAGCTTTTATGGAACTCCAGTTAGTCTGGAAAAAAGCCTTATGTCAAAGTGAATTTCGAATCTTGTTTTACAGTGAAAAACTAAACATGAAAGTGTCAGAAATGCAATGATTAGTCATGTTCATGTTTTCAAATCAACAATGATAAATCAAATGTGTTCGATTGATCCCAAATTCAAACACAGCAAAACAGAAAATAAAACGCACTTAAAGAAATCTTAACAGGTGTCTGAGTATTTGGGACAACCGAGTAAATAAATAACACTCCCCTTTAGAGCACGGTAACTGCATTCTCTGATCTTTTCTTGACTTGGGTAACCAAACACACGAATTAGTTGAATCAACAAACTTTAGTAATGGCAGAACACAAGAGACTGGAAAGAGACATTATGGATACTCCTCACAGAAATACGGTAAGTACTTAACATATTACTAAGTTGCATCTGAAGAACAGCAGTCTATGCTACCAGGAAAACAAAATTATTCCAGCCTTCCCACAGGCAACAAGACCCGAGCATGCAAAGAACAAAACCCTGCAGGAAGCAAGCAAGAAAGGCCTCTGCTGTAAAGGAACTGCTCATGACCTCTGCAAGCTTAAAAGATTCACACTAGTTTACCAAAACCAGCAATACAGATAAACAATTTCCCTCACTATCTAGTCTAAGAAAACACTTATTACTTTCAATATAAAAAGTTTTTTTAAAAAATGTATCTCAAACATTAAAATTTCATGAAACCATCTCTGTATACTGCTCTCCATTACTTTTTATTAACTGCTCCCAATAACTGTAATAGGTGCAGGAATGGGTTGCTCATATAAAAATATGGAATGCTTCACAAACTTGTGTTTTATTCTTGCACAGGGACATGCTAATCTTATCTGTATTGTTGCAATTTTAGTATATGCATTGCCAAAGCAAGCACTGTAAAACTTGATTCTGAATCCTTGATCAATTAAGGGTATTATGTTTAGGTAGTGAAAGTATAAACTGATGATATTTTGTCACCTGTTGTTGACCACTTAATGCTGTAGATTCCAGAAACTTCCAAGAACTTAGCCATTCCTGCTTTTCTTTTCTATTCCTAACTCTCTGGTAAGGACATCTATTTGAAGGCATTTTGACCACACAATTATTTAGAAAACAGTCTTTAGTTTCCTCCTACAAAATGTCCTATCATAACTGCAGAACTGGAAGCTCTCAAGCACAGGTGTTTCCATCTCATCTGACTGACTCTTAGCATCCTGTCTGCATGTGTCACAGCTACTTTAAAACAGACTCCCTAGAACTAGAAACATTGGCAATGGCATCACCAACAAATTATTCTGATGTAATGTTAAAAATATTTCTTAGCTTGTTTCAGAATGCAGTTAAAGGCAAAGCTACTTGGGATGAGAACCTATACACCAACAACAGCATGACTGGTCTTTGGGTTGGTAAGAGGACTACCAGTAATACATTCCATTTTAAAAACAAAGGAATACAGAAAAAACATACCATGAAAATAAAGGGGTCTTAATTATATCATTAACTATTTTAAACTAGACTTTTTTAGTTCTATGAAATTTACATTTGTATTAAGACTTCCAACCATCAGAAATGAGTAATTTTTTAAGAAAAGGAACTGTAATAATTTATAAATTACAATTAAAGAGTCTAAACCTTTGAAGATCAATTCAAAAGTACTTTCTTAGGAGTATCCTTGAAAGTCTCTGTTGTTAGCTTACAGCTACATATTCTTTTCATGGTTTTTTCCAAGTGTTTGCTTGTTTTTCCAAGTCAAAGTTGTTGATTAGCTTAAATGAACAAAGTAATGAAATTTTTCTAAATATTCCATCTGTTTCCCTAAGGCTATTTTACTGAGCAAAGTGCAACTAAGCAACTGCTTCTCTGTACTTATTATATAAGAAGTTTCAAAAAAATAAATCTACTAATTCTTAACATGAATTTACTGTCGTTTCATCACTCCAAATAAGGCTATGTAAAGGACCCAACTAATCCTTTATACAATATAGCGATCAAAACAAAGTTTCTCGACCTTTTGCTTAACACCTAACATTAACACTTCCTTTTAAATTACGCTGGGTACTATATTCTGAAGGACTTGTGTAGTGGATGAATTGTCATATTAAAGATAAAATATGTTAATTTAAAGTGACAGGAACTGAATCACTCTAAGGGAGCATGGGAAGGACATGAGCATGCACTGAACTTTTGTCCCTGAAGCACTGCTATGAATCTTGGCGCATTAATTAATTTAAAGCACATGCTATTGAGTCGGTACCTGCCAGAAATCCTGATCAGAAGATGAGAAAAAGGAAAAAAAAAATCAACATTGTTTGATTATAATACTTCCAAATCAAATGCACATATCAAAAAACATAACATATAAAAAACTAATTAAAACTGATAATATCACTGGACATCTGGAAAATAGAAAAATAAGAAATACACAGAAATGTTTTTGACATTATCTGTTATACACAATAAGACAAAATACTCCAACAGCTCAATTCCTATCCTCCCCAAAAGGACACAGTTGAAGAAAAAGCTTATTATTTCTATAAAAACAAAATATACAATTACTTATTTCTTAAAGAAAAGGGAAAGCAAACATTTTATCTTTTTCCAAGGGCAGTAAAAGTACTTCTTTAATATTTCTTATAAGGATGTCTCACTATAATTTCATGAACTTTTTAAAAATTTCATGACAACTAAGTGACTTTGCCACACATATTAACATACAGGTAAACCAAACTCAAGAACTATTCTAAGTAAGGGTTCCAAACAACTACTTAGAAATAAGTTCTCAAACCATGCTGCACTAAATGAAGGGCTACCCACACTGGAAATAAAACCAGTCATCATGGACACCGGTGTTCAAGAAAGCAGTTCAGGATTCTTAATTTAGCCGCATACAATTTCAAAATATCCCCAAACACAAAATGGTTTTTTGAATGTTTTTCAATAAATATACTTCACTGTGTGTGAAATAAAATTTGACCTAAACTTACCACCCTTTTCACACCATGCTCAGTAGTTCTTGTCAGAAAAACAGATGCTATTAGCCTTTTACAAGGCTACAGCTGGGACTGAGCTGACAGGACCCAAAGGGTTTTACAGCAGGGGGTGAGAGGAATTGCTGTGAACACAGAATAGCTCAGACATGAGAAATCAAACCAGAGGTCTGTTTGGTCAACAGACTAGCTATTTAGCCCTGGGAACAGCTCTTTACAGAGAAAGTACATGGGGATTTTTATAAGTGATTGAACTGAGAACCAAAGCACTGTGGAAGACCAATTATATAGGGAGTAGCTATTTTGTAGCATTTCATACAAATTAAGAAAGAGTATTTTATAATAGCAGATAACTTCATTTGAAAACTGGGAGGCTGGCGCCGCGGCTCACTAGGCTAATCCTCTGCCTTGCGGCACCGGCACACTGGGTTCTAGTCCCGGTCAGGGCGCCGGATTCTGTCCCGGTTGCCCCTCTTCCAGGCCAGCTCTCTGCTGTGGCCAGGGAGTGCAGTGGAGGATGGCCCAAGTGCTGGGGCCCTGCACCCCATGGGAGACCAGGAGGAAGCACCTGGCTCCTGCCTTCGGATCAGCACAGCGCGCCAGCTGCGGTGGCCATTGGAGGGTGAACCAACAGCAAAAGGAAGACCTTTCTCTCTGTCTCTCTCTCACTGTCCACTCTGCCTGTCAACACACACACACACATACACACACACACAACTGGGAAAAGAACTCAAAGTCACGCAAAAGAGCCAAAATTTGCAGAGCAAGGTACTTTTTACCTTTTGTCCTGATTTTACCGACAGAGGTTAATGGGTCTCTTGCCCACATTTCCCTGTCAACTATGCAGCAGAGATCACATTTGAAGACATGACTGTCTGTATCCAAAGTCCACAATTCTCACCCTGTTCTACTGCACACTAAGTACAGCAATGCATAGGTGGTATTTCTCATACTCAGTTCAGCATACTTTATACTATCTGTTAATCATTTACACTCAGCTGTAAAATACTCCAAATAGAAATTCATTGGAAAATATTTCAAACACCAAAGTCAGGTTGTTTTTTTTTTAGGACTATGATGTGTAAAAAAGAACTAAACTGCCACCACCTGGAACATCAGACTCCCACAGGGGCACTATTTTAAGGCCCAGTTGCTCCACTTCCGATCCAGTTCCTTGCTAATGTGCTTGAGAAAGCAGTAGATGCCCTGAACTCATGTAGGAGAGCCAGAAGAAGCTCCTGACTGCTGGTTTCCACCTGGCACTGCCCTAGCTGTTGCAGCCATTTGGGAAGTGAACCAAATAGATGAACGATCTCTCTCTCTCTCTCTCTCTCTCTCTGACTCTACCTTTCAAATAAGTAAAATAAATAATAAAAAAAAAATACTGGATGGACAAGAAGGAAGATGGGGGAAAAAAAAACCAACACCAGGCAGCTAACAATAAACCAGAAAATTTCATTAGGGGTCAACAGACTTCCAAAAAGACTGCATTAGTATCTGAGTTCACTTTAGTAATTTAATTACATTCCAAACAAAACAAATAAGATATGGGGCTAGTGATCAGTCCCTATCAAATGATGCCACAGCTAACATGTAACTAATCAATATCTGAGAGTATAAATATTTATTTTACAATAGAAATATGTTCTCTATTATCCTGATTACTATAAGCAAAGATCCAAGATGCCAAATACAGACAACAGTGCACTTTTTGAGAGAAACTCTTGGCTTAAAAAAAGTCTAATACATTCCAAGAGAATGCACATAACATTTCAGTCCCCCATAAGTATTTCAGACACATGGTGGTTTGGGGGTTATGATTTAGCCCTTAAAAAAAAAAAACCTTAAAAACCCATTAATATATTCACTCACTGGTTGTCAGTAGTTTGTTTCTGTGGTTTAAATTTAAATTTCCAAATGAAAAATACTTCTTTGTCTTGTGAAGGAATTATCACCAATAATAGTCAAAATGCTTGGGTACCTGCCACCCATGGGGAAGTTAAGATGAAATTCCAGGCTCCTAGGGCTGCTGCCTAAAGTGCCTACATTCCATATGGGCATCAGTTTGAGTCTGGCTGCTCCCACTTATGATCCAGCTCCCTGCTCATGCACTTGGGAAAGCAGTGGAAGATGGCCTAAGTACTTGAGCCCCTGAATCCACGTATGAGACCTGGCCCACCTCAGCCCTGGCCATTGTGGCCATTTGGGGGAGTGAATCAGCAGATGGAAGAGCTCTCTTTGTCATTCCCTCTTTCTAACTATGCCTTTCAAATAAATAAATAAATCTTTAAAACAAAACAAAACAGCTACCTTGTTACATCATAGCATTAGTAGTCATCTCTTAGACTTAAAAACAAAGAAAGAAAGGAATTCCAGGCTCCTGGGTTCAACCTAGCCCAGCTCCAGCTGTTGCAGGCATTTGGCAAGTAAATCACGATGGAAGATCCCTGGCTCTCCCTTTGTCACTCTGCCTTTCATATAAATAAGTAACTAAAACATAAGACAATAAACAATATAAAACACTTGAAATAAACTACACCAATAAAAACATCTAAACGGTTAAATCCAAGAAATATTTGACAATAATGTAAAGCAAAGGCTCCACTTAGAAAAAAACTTCAGTTTTATAGGCCAATTATTAAATGACAAAAATTAAGTGAAGAAAAAATATTGTTTTCATTACAGAAGAAATTCAAAATTCATGAAATGACCATATTAACAAATTATAAAGAGAATACATGGATATTGAGGGTGGAATAGATTTTTTTAAATCCATGATATAACACATTAAAACAAAAGCTCCACCATATTTTGTATTACCATCTCTACAACAGTGCTAATAAGCTATTTATGATGATTTTCAAACACCTTCTAAGAGAAAATCTGAATTCTTTCAAGCTTTATTTTTAAAACTTAAACCTAGTCTGAGCAGTTTTAAAAAATCATCACGTAGGAGCCAGTGTTGTGGCACAGCAGGTTAAGTCACTTGCCTGCAATGTTGGCATCCCATTTGAGTACTGGTTCAAGTCCTGGCTGAGCCACTTCTGATTCAGCTCCCTGCTAATGTGCATGGGAAAATAGCAGATGATGGCCCAAGTACTTGGGTCCCTGCCACCCTTGTGGGAGACCTGGATGGAGTGCTAGGCTCCTGTTTTGGGCCTGGCCATTGCAACCATTTGGGGAGTGAACCAGCAGATAGAAGATCTCTCTCTCCTTTTCTGTAACTCTGCCTTTCAAATAAATTAAAAAAAAAAAAATCATCACTTATCTACAAAATATATTCTAAAGACCAGTAAGACCCAAAGCCTGTAGATAGTAGATAGTTTTGAAAAGCAATAGATAATACAAATGCCAATAGTAAACTAGTTCATGACTTTTATGCAAGGATTAATACTTATTAACATAAGGTAGTAACTGCCTATGGAAAAATATCCTGGCAAAATTCAAAATCTGCTTAACCAAACTTTGTTTCAATAACCATTAGTTGAATCAGAAATGTTTCCTTTATTTCTTACAGGGAATTTTTGAGTTAATTAAACAGAACAAGAGAAAATATGATAAAACAAGAAACAACTACTCAAGTGTTTATCAATATCAGTTGGGCCATCTTTTTACTCTACACCTCAAGGTTCTATGAAATTAAATTACAAATGAAAAGCATCCCCAAAAAAACCTCATTTCTACATTTGTTCTTGCTTTAAAGACAGAAAAGCTAAATTATAATTCAATTAGAAGGCAAAAAATATGCTAGTGTTTGCTACTGGTCGAATGATGGGTCTAGTGAAGTGGTGTGTTAACAGTCAAAATATGGGGGCTAGGAAGTTGGGAGTAAATTACTCTTTCTCTAAGCATTCCACAGCTAGTTCATCTTCCAAGTTTAAAGAAAGGGGAAGGTGGAAGAGAAAATCATCCATCTAAAAGTCAAAGTATATCAAAGGAAATTCCTCTAGTGCATTTAGTTTTCTAACTAAATTTAAGAGTACAGCCATAATGCAAGTAAAAATTTCGTATCATCAGAACTCAAATTTGTTTTGTAAAACAGGAAATTATCTTAGGATTTATATACTCTAGAAGCTGTTATTTAAGAATTAACATTTTCTGGGGCTGGCATTGTGGCACAGTGGGTGAAGCCACTGCCTGCAATATGTCCTGGCTGCTCCATTTCCAATCCATCTCCCTGCTGACAGCCTAGGAAAAACAACAGAAGATGGCCCAAGCCACTCATGTGGGAGACTTGAAAGAAGCTCCTAGTTCCTGGCTTCAGCCTGGCCCCGTTCCAGCTGTTGCAGTCATCTGGGGAGTAAACCAGAGGATAGCAGACTGATCTCTCTCTCTCTCTCACTCTCTCTCGTTCTGCTTCTCCTTCTCTCTCTGTAACTCTTTCAAATAAATAATAAATCTTAATATATATATTTTTAAAAATATTAACTATATATATATATATATATATATATATATATATATATATATATTCTGATTGAGAGCCCAAATGAGTCTTGAAGATCTAAAGGAAAATAATTACCAAGTGAAGGACTTCAATACATAACCAGAAACTCTGGAAAAACTTGTGCTTATCAGAGGTAGATGAAAGGGAAATCTGGATTCTTCACTTCTTGCTAGGCAACAAGCCACTTACTGCTGGCTGAGGGTCATGGGCTCAATTCCACACCACTTTGTGTGAGTCTCCTATTCCTCTTTTCTCTTTCCGAACCTATTACTCTGGAAGCACAAAGTCAACTTCCATATGCCTAATTTTCATACAAGGCATACTTATTCCTAAATCTTGCCTTTCCTACTGTAATTTCAGAATTCTACACTGCAGTGCACAAACAAACACACCCAACTATAACCTGTTCAGTTGGCTTTCCAAACCAGAAGCACTGCCTTTTGTGCTTCCACAGGGAGGTGAGCATTCAAATACTTTCATGTTTTACTGCATTTTACTCTAGTTTATAAAAATAAATGGAATCAGAAAAATGTTGATGGTAAGAGCTCATAAATTTTATAAAACTAAAATTAAGAAGAAAACTCATCAGCCACACCAAAAGCTCAAAATTCCCATCTGCAACTGGATCAGTTGATTACTGAATCACAACAGAAAAAAACTGGTTATATATGACACATGAATTATCATTAGGGCTTTTATATTTGGGAAATTTCTAGGAATGGAAGTTCTTCTAATAAGTAATTCTGTTGTTCAATTCACACAAATTCAACCCATTTACATGTTCTCTGTATTCCTTCAGTGACTAAAAAAGAAGGTAATTATTAAACTGACTTTACTAAAATATAGATTTAATGACTCATACCTCCTAGGAGTTATATGAGTGACTAGTAGACATTTTTCAAGTCATTAAACATTTATTTATTGGTTGCCTCCTGTGTGCCAGTTCTGTGCTGGACTCCAGGTGACACAAAGGCAGATAGGACAGAGACCCCATTTGCCAAACTCTGAAATCAAACCCTGACATCAGTGTCTGTAGCAACCCCTCACACAGACACATGGGAGCCTTACCATAAACACAAAAAGCAGAGACACAGAGGATCAAAGAGAAGTTGTGGCTGCTCCAAAGCACAGCCAGGCCTCTGAGTGCAGGGCTCCCAACATTTAGTTCAATGCCCTTTCTTTTGGTCATTCTATCCTTCAGCACATAGGACTTTAAACAGAGATACTCACAGATGGAGGCATTTCAGGCATTGAGCCACATGAACAAGAAAAGTAATTTTTAGGCTGGTGGCCTTGATCTTTCCAGTCTTAAAGCAGCCACTCATTCTTATCACTTCTGCAAAAAAAGCTTAATATATCTGTTCACCTTATCAGGGTATGGAGGTCTATGCAACGATGCAGGGAATGCCACATCCCTGCAGAACCAGTTTATACTACTCCTAACCTCCGCCCATTAGACCCTCTTTTGTGCTCCTGCCTTTTTCAGCCACTCCATGACTTTCCTTCTGATTTCCTTCTCATTACTCTTTGTAGAGCCACGCCTGACTCCTTCTTCCTTCAGACGGGCTTTCTTCCTCCGCTTTAAAAATGACCCTTTACTTTTCTTTCTGACCCTGTGTAATAGTTTCTTTTTCTCTTTGGAGATTTTAGCCTGAAAGGGAAAAACATGTTTAAACTGACTGCTTTGAGATAATAAAATTCAAAGTTTCATTTTCCATGCCTAAGAATGATTTGTTACAAGATTTACACAGTTATAAAATAAGCAACCGAGGGGCAGTCTTTGGCCTAGCAGTTTGGGGTACTGAATCAGATGCCCAAGTCCTATCTGGGAATGCCTGGGTTGGACTCCCTGCTCCAGCTCCAGATTCTGGCTTCCCACTGACACAGAAGCTGAGAGGAAGCTCAAGTGGCTGGGTCCAGGCCATGCATATATGAGATCTGGATTGAGGTCCCAGCTCTCAGCTTTGAGCTAGCATAGCCCTTGGTGTTGTGGGCATTTGAGGAGTGAACCAAATAATGTGAGCCAGAGTGATGGAAGCTCTGTCTGTATATTTATCAAAGAAAATAAAATAAAGAATTGAAAATAAGTATAATGCAAACATATGCACATTTGGAGTATCCTCTTTAGCTATTATAAAAGCATTATAAGGATTTTTGTAATTTTCTAGTTAGAATTAATGCTATATACTAACAGAAAGTTTAAGGAAGGTCAAATCAGATGTGTTTTGCAAGACATTCAAATGTAATACAGGGGAGTATATTAACCTTTTTATGACTGTTGACAATATTCAAGTCAGCAAACACTGAATTAGTCCTTAATACAGCTCAGAGGCAACTCATGAGAGTTACCTTGCATGGAAAAATATGAAGAGTCTCCTTGGTTCTTTCTGAGAAGCATCTGAAGGTACAGACTTGCTAAACTGACCACACTTTTTTGTTAGGATAAGTGGGTATTTGGGATCTCTCACAGATAATGCTAGAGGGATTTGGAAATCTCAATAATAGGATTCACATTGTATGTGTCCTTGTTTGCTCACCTTTCCATCAAAGCGTTTTATTATATATTGATCCAGGCCCAAGTCTGTAAAAGAAAAGAAAGAAGTCATCACTGACTGTAACTCAAACGAAACACAGAAAATGATAGCCTTGTTTTGTTTCCAAAAATTCAATGCAATGTACTTGGTGGGTTAGCCACAACATTTGTCCAAAGGCCACAGGAATTAAATTTTTTTTTTTTTGATAGGCAGAGTGGACAGTGAGAGAGAGAGACAGAGAGAAAGGTCTTCCTTTGCTGTTGGTTCACCCTCCAATGGCCACTGCAGCCAGCGTGCTGCGGCTGGCGCACCGCGCTGATCCAATGGCAGGAGCCAGGTACTTATCCTGGTCTCCCATGGGGTGCAGGGCCCAAGCACGTGGGCCATCCTCCACTACACTCCCGGGCCACAGCAGAGAGCTGGCCTGGAAGAGGGGCAACCGGGACAGAATCTGGCGCCCCGACCAGGACTAGAACCCGGTGTGCCGGCGCCGCAAGGTGGAGGATTAGCCTAGTGAGCCACGGTGCTGGCCTAGGAATTAATATTTTTGCCACACTTCAAAGAGTCCATGCAAAGCGATATCAGCCCTTTTATTTCATATAATAGAAAAGAGGGGCTCTGAGAGGGTAATGGACACACGTGCAAATCTGGTCCACAGTGGAGGAGAAGTCAGCTCTGGACTCTTGCCAGGGCAGTGCTCTTTTTGCTATATCAAGGTGCTGTGGTACCTCTATTTAAGGTGAGGGAGCTATTAGTTTAATTCAATTGCTTAATAATTCTTTTGGTATCAAGTTAAAAGAAAAGAGATCAGGTACTGGTGTTGGAGATAGCAAGTAAAACCACTGCTTGCTGTGCCAGCATCCCATATGGGTGTCAGTTTGAGTCCCAGCTGCCTCACTTCCAATCCAGCTCCCTGTTTATGTGCCCGGGAAAGCAGCGGCAGAAGACCCAAGTCCTTGGGGCCTGCACCCATGTGGGAGACCAAGATGAAGCTCCTGGATCCCGGCTTCGGCTTGGCCCAGCCTTGCCTGGCTGTTGAGGCCATTTGGGGAGTGGACCAGTGGATGGAAGAGTGTTCGTTCATTCTCTCTCTCTCTCTCTCTCCTTCTCTGTAACTCTTTCAAACATATAAATAAATCTTAAAAAAAAAAAAAGTTCAATGCCAAAAGAACTTTTGCAAAACACTGAAACAGCTACAAATAGATCATCATAATATAGTCCATCTTACCTTTCAAAATTGCATTAAACATTAAATGTTTACTTGAGATTACCTAGCTTTGAATTTGGAGCATTGTGAAAGATGTAGTGCTTGCATGCATTAGGGGCCCTTGAAAGCTGGGACTTTTTTTGTCTTTGTGTACTGCTTTCCCCCAGTACTTTATAAATATGTGCATGCAAGTTACTCATATCAGCAGTTTATTCCAAACACAACAATAAAAGCAGCATTAGCCAAGATCTAGCATTTAGTTTACTGAGCAACTGTGATGTTGTAGATATCGTTCGTAATCCATAATATTAGTTAATTCAGTCCTCCTAGCAACTACACAGGGCAGGAGTTGGCAAACTACAGACTTCAGGCCAAATGCAGCCTAGCCATGGTTATTTATTTTTCCTTTTCTTTTTATGGCCTAGAAACTAAGAATAATGAGTACTATTCTGCCTCTTGGCCTGCAAGGCCTGAAATATTTACTATCTGATCTTTTAAGGAAAGTTTGCTATTCCCTAGTTTAAGGGCACATCAGCTGACATCTAAAAAATTAGCACTATTTTAAAGGCACTTAGATTTCAAAACATTTGTGTTAGAATCCCATAATACATGGCACATTAACTTTTGGAGAAAGAATACCATGACTCATGTATTCTGTGTAAATATAGCCCATTTTAAGATCCCACATAATGCTTTACACCAGGGGTTAGCAAGTATTTTTCTGTAAATGGACAGAAAGTAAATGCTTTAGGTTTTATGGGCTACAGTCTCTGTTGAGATTACTCAACTCTACTTTTGTAACTCAAAAGCTATCACACAAAAATGAATGAACATGGCTATAATCATAAGACTCCTCATGGATACTGAAATTTATTTTAATACTTAGGTATCACAAATATTTTTGTGATTTTTATTTCACTCATCTAAAAACAGACAAAACATTCTCTGTTCATAGGCCATATGGAAACAACCAGTTGGTTGAAGTTGACGAAGTAGTATTCTATACTAAATATTAGCACAGCAGAGAATTAAAATTAAATGTAGAACACAGTAGGTTAAGTAGAGAAAATATCAGTGCACTAATGTTTTCAAAATCTATCTCCTGCATTATACAGTCAGGTAAAAACCATGTACCTCCAACAAAGAGCTCTGGGAAGATTATTATTAAGGGCCTAAAAGGTCATAGAGGAGTGCAGAACAAGCAAACCTCAGTATGAACTGTGTTTCTCTTTCTGCATTCTACATGCCATGCAGATGAAATCACATCAAGACGAACTGGGTAAGCAACTAGACAGAGTGGAAAGGAATTAAGGTATGTTTTGCTCAGACCAAAGCTCATGTTTTTCTACCTGGAACTTAAAATACTCTCTGCATGCAGTTGATAACTCAAATCACTGGCCAGCTACACAGAACTGGTTACTGCAATAGCAAGAGCACTCAAAGACCAGAGCCTGAAACAACTGCCTGATTTACAATATCCAAGCAAGGCAATTCTGATGTTACAGAAAGGGAGATGAGACATGCCAAAGTCACATAAGATATTTTTTCTTTTTCACCCTTGCTACTTAACTAAGGCTATGTTGAATTTTCTTGAGATTCAGTACCAAACTATTCTTATTCAGCTTTTCACTCACATTCAATAGCTCTCTATTCATTTTAAGACTTTAATTTTAGACCTTCATGTATTCTGTGCTACATGATTATTTTTAAATTGTTCTAAAACTAAAGCTCACAAATTTAGAACTGCTGGATATCCTGGGATACAGTATGTGTAAAGATATGATCAAAAAAAGTTGAAATATGAGCTACTGGCTAGAGTCCAGGCATCTGATGATAGAAATTCAAACTACAAAAAATTCTACAGCCCTACTCTTTTCTTTACTTTAACTTATACAGGAATAATATATACTTTACTTCTGCTGTATCAACATTTGTGGAAATTCCTGTTCATGGGTAAATAAAAATGAAGCCAAATTTCCCACTGAATTTCATTTTAATGTGTCAAAATTTCCCCTGAAGATCATCATCATAGAAGAAAAGCAATTACTCCCTATTCTAAACCAGAAATGTAGTTGGTATATTAGACATTTAGTAGCTAAACTATATTAGGTCTTTTAATAATTAAAAAAAAAAAAAAAAACAACACAAAATACTGGGGCTGGCGGTATGGCCTATGAGGCTAAGCCTCTGCCTGTAGTGCCGGCATCCCATATGGGTGCCAGTTCCTGAACTGGCTGCTCCTCTTCAAATCCAGCTCTCTGCTTATGGCCTGGGAAAGCAGTAGAAGATGGCCCAAATGCTTGGGCCCTTGTCCACACTTGGGAGACCCAGAAAAGCTCCTGGCTTTGGATTGGCCCAGTTTCTGCCATTGTGGCCATTTGGGGAGTGAATCAGAGAAAGGAAGACCTTTATGTCTGTCTCTCCTTTCTCTCTGTCTGTAACACTATCTCTCAAATAAATAAAATCTTTAAAAAAATTTAAAAACCCAAAATACTACAAAGTTAAATGCCAGAATATGTGGAAGCAATTAAAACATATAATGATTTCCAATAGTATAAAAATAATATTCCTTAAACATTGTAATGATTTTTAGAGGCCTGTCTGAAGTCTTAGTTTATTTTTGTTACATTGAAAGCAAACCATATTTTTAAAAAATATTTATTTATTTATCTGAAAGGCACAGAGAGATCTTCCATTTGGTTCACCACCTCAATGGCTGCAACAAGCCATGCTCCTGGAACTCCATCCAGGTCTCTCATATGGGTGCAGAGATCAACATATTTGAGCCATCTTCTGCTGCTATCACAGGTACACTAGCAGGGAGCTAGAACAGAGGTGGAACAGCTGGGACTTGAACCGACATCACATGGGATGCAGGTGCTGCAGGTGGAGGCTTAACCCTTTGTGCCATAACATCAGCCCCCAAATACATCCTTTTTTAAGTTATTCATACATAAAATTTTATCTGCACAGAAGAAATAGTCTAGCAGGAAGGAAAATATTTACTCTCATAAAAATCAGGAGTGTAGGGGCTGGTTCTGCAGTGTAGTGAGTGAAGCTGCCACCTAAAGTGCCAGCATCCCATATGGGTGCCGGTTCGAGTCCCGGCTGCTCCACTTCGAATCCAGCTCTCTGCTATGGCCAGAGAAAGCAGCAGAAGATGGCCCAAGTCCTTGGGCCCCTGCACCCGCTTGGGAGACCCAGCAGAAGCTCCTGGTTTTGGACTGGCACAGCTCCGGCCGTTGCGGCCAGCTGGGGAGTGAACCAGCAGATGAAAGACCTCTCTTTCTCTTTCTGCCTTTTATTCTCTAACTCTGCCTCTCAAATAAATAAAGATTTTTTTAAAGATTTATTTTATTTGAGAGGCAGAGTTACAGAGGGGCAGAGGCAGAGAGAGAGAGAGAGAGAGAGAGAGGTCTTCTATCTGCTGGTTTACTACCCAAATGGCTGGAATGGCTGGAGCTGAGCTAATCTGAAGCCAAGAGCCAGGAGCTTCTTCTGGGTCTCCCACATGGGTGCAGAGGCCCAAGGACTTGGACCATCCTCCGCTGCTTTCCAGTTGCACTAGCAGGGAGCTGGACTGGAAGTGGAGTAGTTGGGACTTGAAACTATATCCATACAGGCTGGTGGCGTTGCAGGCCAGGGCTTTAACCTGCCACGCCACAGCACTGGCCCCCTAGATTGTTCTTCTTTTCAAATTTAGGTGTTTATAGCTATAAATTTCCCTATGACAGCTGCTTTTGTGGCACTGTCCAAGTTTTAGTAGGTTCTGATTCCCTTTTCATTCAACTGGAAGTGTTCTCTAATTTTTCTTCTTTTATTCATTGGTGCTGTTTCATTTCATACATGTTTTTATTTTTCTATTTATGATTTGTTTCATTTCACTGTGATTAGAAAAAAACTCGTGTACATTTTCAATCTTTTAAACTATGTTTTTTTATTATTACTTTTATTTAATAAATGTGAATTTACAAAGTGCAACTTTTGTATTGTTGTGGCTCCCACCCACCCCAACCTCCCTCCCTCCTGCTGTCCTCCCCTCTCCCACTCCCTCTCCCATCCCGCCCTTCATCGAGTTTCATTTTCGATTACCTTCATATACAGAAGATCAACTTAGTATATACTAAGCAAGGATTTCAACAGGGTGCCCTCACACAACCGCACAAGGTATAGGGTATTGTTCGACTAGTAGTGTTGTCTTTAAGTTTCATTGAACTATGTTTTGAGGTCTAAAGTAGAGTATATCCTGAACACTGTTGTATGTGCACTGCAGAAGACTGTATTCTGCGGCTCTTGGAGTGTTCTGTATGTTTATTAGGTCTGGTTGGTTTATAGTGTTGTTTAACTCCTCTATCTCTTTATTCATCCCCTGTCTAGAGGTTCTACCCATTAATGAAATGCATGTAAGAGTTTCCAACCATTATCTATTTCTCCCTTTGCTCAGTGTTTTCTTCACATATTCTGTGGTCTGGCATTTGGTGGGTATATACTGATAACTATTAAATCTTTTTTGTTTTTAAGATTTATTTTACTTATTTGAAAGGAGGGGAGAGAGAGAGAGAGAGAGAGAGAGAGAGAGAGAGAGAGAGAGAGAGATCTTCCATCTACTGATTCACTCCCCTAAATGGCTACAATGGCCAAGGTTGGGCCAGGCTGAAGCCAGGAGCCTGTTACTCTATCTGGATCACCCACAAGGGTAGCATGGGCCTAAACACTTGGGCCATCTTCCACTGCTTCTCCAGGCATATTAGAAGGGAGCTAGATAGGAAATGGAGCAGCTAGGAGTCAAACATGCTCATGTGGAATGTTAGTGTCACATGCACCTGCTGTGCCACTAAACTAGTGAATGGAACATCTCTCTGTCTCTCTCTGTTCCTGTCTCTCCCGCCCTCCCTCCCTCCCCCCTTCACTTCCTCCATCCCCCCTTCCCTCCCTCTCTGTAACTGTGCCTTTCAAATAAATAAATCTTTGAAGAAATAAAGAGTAAAGAAAAGAAACCAACTTCTACCATTTTGTTAGTATTTGTTTTCTATGTATCTTCTTTTTTGTCCTCCAATTTCTCCAATCTTGGACTCTTTTGTGTTTGACTATTTTTTCTCTATCATACCATTTTCAGCTATTCCTCATTACCTTTTCCACAAATTTTTAAGATATTTCTTAGTGGTAGCTCTGGGATTACATTTACAATCCCTAATTGATAATAATCTACATGAAATTAATAGCTACAATGGCTTCAGTAGCATGTAAAAACTCTGCTCCTATCTAGCTCCATTCTTCTTCTTTAAACATTATATACATATTATCATATGTTGCAATTACCATTTTCTTGAATTAATAATTTGTCATTTAAATCATAGCAAACAAAAATAGAAGTTACAAATCAAAAGTAAAACAATATGGGCCAGCATGGTGGTGCAGTGAGTTAAGCTGCCACTTGCAATGTAGTTCAAATCCCAGCTGCTGTTTCCAGTACAGCTCCCTGCTAACATACCTGGGAAAGCATCAGGAGATGAGCCAAATATCTGGGCCCTTACCACCCATGTGGGAGATCCAGATGGAGGTCTAGGCTCCTGGTTTTGGCTTTGCCCAGGCCCAGCCATTGCTGCCACTTGTGAAATTAATCAGCAGATGGAAGGTATATTTCTCTCTCTCTCTGTTGCTCAGCCTCTGAAATAAATAAATCTTAAAAACAAAAACAAACCAGAAATGCCATGGTTGGTGAGTAGGCAAAAATGCCACAGTGCTTTCTTACCAAAATTTAGCAGCCCTTTTCTTCATTAGCCACTCGCCTCATTGTGTAAGTTTGTAACTAGACTGCAGAGTTCCAAAAATGTCAGTTCCTGTTTTTGCTAATTTAATGGTTGCTTTGGTGGAAGGTCTCAATCTTGGAGCTTCCATACTCCATCATTTTTCCTACAGAGTCTCCCAAATACATTCTTAAATCGGTATATTTAACTTGTAATATTAAGCCACTTATTTTTCTATTAAATGTATCCTCCAATTCCATTTTTCATGAATTTTGTAGTTTTTTAAGATTTATTTATTTATTTGAAAAGCAGAGTGACAGAGAGACAGGGAAAGACAGAGAGAGTTCTCCCACTTGCTAGTTTATTCCCCAAATGCCTGCAAAAGCTGGCACTGCACCAGGCTAAAGCCTGAACGACAATCAGGTCTCCCACGTGAGCAGCAGGGACTCAGGTGCTTGGGCCATCATCTGCTGCCTTCCCAGGCACTTTGTTAGCAGGAGCTGGATCCGAAACAGAGTAGCTGGCACTTGAACTGGCACTCTCACATGGGAAGCAGATGTCCTGAGCAGCAGCTCAACCTGCTAAGCCCTAACCCTTGCCCTACAGGTCATTTCTTATGTTTGCTCAGGTCGTTTCCTCTACACAAGACACCCTCTTCACTAACCTTTGATTGCCTGACTCTTAGTCATCCTAATTAGATTATTCTCTAGAAAGCAGTCTTCAAACTTCCAGATTGAGTTAAATGCCTTTTCTTCTCACTGCCATAGGACTTTACGTAATATTCTTTTACAAATCACCACATTTCTGAAATTATCTATTACCATCTCTATCTACCTCCCTTACTAAAGAGTAAGTGGACTGTAGCCATATGTGTAATGTATCGCCTTCAAAACATTCCAACTTCAGGCAGTGAATCTCAGCCAACTGGGTACAATTTCTCAACCTTTTGCCATGGTTGAGGATTGCCACATTAGATTGCAAGCTCCTGTCCTTTATACTCCTAAAGCCTAGTACAATGCCTAATATTCAGTAGTTACACAGTGAGTGTAATTATTGCATGGATCTATAAAATCTAAGCCACTCAGTGACACAAAAATCAAGGTAGTTTATAATAAAATAAGTATCACAATTTTATTTTTCACTTTAGCAACTTACGTTCTGGTTGTTTTTCATTAGGTGTTATGGATCGCACAAAATCTTGTGGAGTCATAAACACTTCTGCTTCACCAGGTTCATTGATTACTTTCAAGGTAGCAAAATAGCGAAAGATTTTGTCTGGTGTAGAGTAGGCTCGAATCCTGTTCTCATATTCCATCACCTTAAAATCGTAAATTTCACAGTATCACTCTACTAAGCATTACTCTACTAAGCATTACTTATAAATTCTCATCATCAATACTCATCAGTTACATTACTCATTTTCTAGAGAATTTTATTGTCATTTTTTCTATAACAGTATTTTTTTCAATTTTTATTTAATAAATATAAATTTCCAAAGTACAACTTTTGAATTATAGTGGCTTTCCCCCCCATAACCTCCCTCCCACCCGCAACCATCCCATCTCCCACTTCCTCTCCCATCCCATTCTTCATCATGATTCATTTGCCATTATCTTTATATACAGAAAATCAACTTAGTATATACTAAGTAAAGATTTCAACAGACTGCACCTACACAGACACACAAAGTATAGAGTACTGTCCTTTCTCTCTGTCTCTCTCTCTCACTGTCCATTCTGCCTGTCAAAAAAAAAAAAAAAAAGGCCGGCGCCGAGGCTCAACAGGCTAATCCTCCGCCTGCGGCACCAGCACACCAGGTTCTAGTCCCTGTCAGGGCGCTGGATTCTGTCCCGGTTGCTCCTCTTCCAGTCCCAGCTCTCTGCTGTGGCCCGGGAGTGCAGTGGAGGATGGCCCAAGTCCTTGGACCCTGCACCCCATGGGAGACCAGGAGAAGCACCTGGCTCCTGCCTTCGGATCAGTGCGCTGCACCGACTGCAGCGGCCATTGGGTGGGTGAACCAACGGAAGGAAGACCTTTCTCTCTCTCTCTCTCACTGTCTAACTCTGCCTGAAAAAAAAAAAAAAGTATAGAGTACTGCTTGAGTCGTAGTTTTACCATTAATTTGCATAGTACAACACATTAAGGACAGAGGTCCTACATGGGGAGCAGGTGCACAGTGACTCCTGCTGCTGATTTAACAATTGACACTCTTATTTATGACATCAGTAATCGCCCGAGGTTCTTGTCAGGAGCTGCCAAGGCTATGGAAGCCTCTTGAGTTCGCCAATTCCGATCTTATTTAGACAAGGCCATATTCAAAGTGGAAGTTCTCTGCTCCCTTCAGAGAAAGATACCTCCTTCTTTGATGCCCCTTTCTTTCCGCTAGGATCTCACTCACAAAGATCTTTCATTTAGGTCATTTTTTTTTCTTTGCCACAGTGTCTTAGCTTTCCATGCCTGCAAAACTCTCATGGGCTTTTTAGCAGTATCTGAATGCCTTAAGGGCTGATTCTGAGTCCAGAGTGCTGTTTAGGGCATTTGCCATTCTATGAGTCTGCTGTGTATCCTACTTCCCATGTAGGATCATTCTCTCCTTTTTAATTCTATCAATTATTATTTGAAGACCCTGGTCTTATTTATGTAATCTCTTTGACACTTAATCCTATCTTTTTGATCATTTCTGAACTTAAACTGATCACTTTAACAGGTAAGATGGCATTGGTACATGCCACCTTGATGGGACTGAATTGGAATCCCCTGGCACGTTTCTAGCTCTACCATTAGCGGTAAGTCCAAGTGAGCGTGTGCCGAACTATACACCTCCTCCCTTAATAGTATTTTTTATATTACAAAAAAATTGAATTGGGGCCAGCACTGTGGCATAGAGAGTTAAGTCATTGCTGGCAATGCAGGCATCCCATATGGGTGCTGAATGGTGTCCTGGCTGCTCCACTTCTGATTCAGCTCCCTGCTAATGTGCTTGGGAAAGAAGCAAAAGATGGCCCAAGTGCTTGGGCACCTGCACCCATGTGGGAGACCCAGATGAAGCTCCTGGCTCTTGGCTTCTGCCTGGCATAGCCCTGGCCGCTATGGCCATTTGAGGAGTGAACAGTGGATGGAAGATCTTGATCTCTCTCTCTCTCCCTCCTCTAACTCTGCCTTTCAAGTAAATAAAATAAATTTTTAAAAAACTGAATTCAAAATTTCTTGAATCTCTTTCATGCAATATACCATTCATACCCCATTTGAGACAATGCTATGGGATTTCTGAAGAACATTTTCTGAAGAATTTTCTACTTTCTTAAATCAATGAAAATTAGTAAAACTGAAAAATACCCTAAGAAAACTCAAAAGATCTCAGTAACAAGTAAAAATTCAGATATATATCAGTTCTTAAATATTGTTTTTAAAAGGGAATTCATTACACAGTTCCCAAATGCAATATATATGAGATTTCCTGAGTCCTAAAACAAAACAGACTTGAGATTTCATATTCTTTTTCTTTTTCTTCTTCCTTTTTTTTTTTGGACAGGCAGAGTGGACAGTGAGAGAGACAGAGAGAAAGGTCTTCCTTTGCCATTGGTTCACCCTCCAATGGCCGCCGCGGCCAGTGCATTGTGCTGATCCAAAGGCAGGAACAAGGTGCTTCTCCTGGTCTCCCATGGGGTGCAGGACCCAAGGACCTGGGCCATCCTCCACTGCACTCCCGGGCCACAGCAGAGAGCTGGTCTGGAAGAGGGGCAACCGGGACAGAATCCGGTGCCCTGACTGGGACTAGAACCTGGTGTGACAGTGCTGCAGGCAGAGGATTAGCCTATTGAGCTGCGGTGCCAGCCGAGATTTCATATTTTTTAATAATTAGCAAAGAAAAAGTACATTAAACAATGGCATAGAAAAATAAAATTACATATCATGGAAACTCAATTTTATTACTAGGTCTGAAGCAACAAATGCTTACTTTTGACTATAAAATCATGCAAATTGCAGAGATCCTTTACATACAGTACATTTAGAAAGCAGCAGAGTTGGGAAGCCTATAAGCAAACTTTTAAAAGCAACAAAATCAAGCATTGAATATTCTTTTAACTAAATGTTTGTCAGGTTAACATAAAAGCTCATTACCTGACCTGGTCTACAAGCCCTCACTCTATGCATGCAACATACCAAATACAAAACCAATCATGTAATATTTTGGTGAGAAAATTTCTCTCATACATGAATTTTATATGCTGAGATAGTCAACAACAAGTAACATCTTATAAATAATAATCTAGAAAATATATCAAGGCAATAAAATGTAAAAACTCATCAGTACCATGCTCATACAGCAACTCATTAGTACAAAGAAAAATATTATAAATGTTTTAAATTTTCCATATTAACATAGCTATTACTGGACCTATCAATCCTACTTAGATGTCACTTCGAGGTTACTGGCAGCAGCTGTGCAACAATGATCTCAATTCCACTCCCAGACATGATTTAGCCACTGACGAGGGACTGCTAATTTGTCACAAAAAGAATGTCTTCAATGCTAGCTTCCATTAAACTCTAAATAGATTTCAGATTTGATAAATTTTATCAAAAGATTAAGCACATAGCAAACATAGAAGCTTTTCAATTTCTAAGCAGCTGTGAGACTTAAGTACGTATCTTAAAGGCATTTTATATTGAACTACAATTGTAATTTAAAAGTTTGAAATCTATGAAGTTTTTTTATAATACACATCTTCCATGAACTTCTTGAACACCCTCTATATACAATTTCAAAATTTTTTGAACTAAAATAAACATTTTAATTCCATTTTCATGAACTCTTTAAATTCCCCTCATGAGAACTAAAGAGAAGCTAAATACTGCCTGTAACCAAACAGTAGCTGAATGACAGTATCTCTTTATAAAATATTCCAATTAAAAAATGAAAAGAATCTGATGAAATTATAGTATTACCATATTGTGACTGCAATGAATGAATAGATCTAGGCACTGAACATCAATAGCTAATATCACAAGAAGAAAAGTAGACATTTGGTGTCTCCTAATGGAAGGACATACTGGGGCTGATGCTGTGGCATAGTGGCACAGTGAGTTAAAGACCCAACCAGCAGCACTGGCATCCCAAATGGGCACAGGCTCAAGTCCTGGCTACTCCACTTCTGATCCAGGTCCCTGCTAATATGCCTAGGAAAGCAGCAGAAGATGGCCCAAATGCTTAGGCTGCTGCACCCACATGGGAGACCCAGAAAATGCTCCTGGATTCAGCCTGGCTCAGCCCCGCTTGTTGTGGCCACTTGGAGAGTGAACCAGAAGATGGAAGAACTCTCTCTCTCTCTGTCTCTACCTCTCTCTGTAATTCTGCCTTTCAAATAAATAAACAAATCTTGAAGGAAGGAAGGAAGGAAGGAGGGAGGGAGGGAGGGAGGGAGGGAGGTCATATTATGACCTGTAGTCTTGCCATAGGGATCAAACTGTCACCAGCTAAATGCTCCTGAGGAGCTCAAAAGTTCTTATTGCAACTCCTCTCTATTTCAATACCCTAATGTTATCCAAGGTTATCTTTCTGGTTTTCATCATATCCTAGGGAAAGTTGCAATCCCAGCCTCTCTGAATTGGGCCAGATCCTACTGCAAGAGCATCACCTAGTTAGCTGCGTCAAAGAGCGTCCAAAGGTTACCCTTTGCTTCATTATAATACTAAGATCATCACCACAGGAGGAACTTACGCCTTATTACCATATCGTACAACCTATGTTGGTGCATGTTCCTGAACTGTACCTGTATGAACTTGTACACAGTCCTACATGCGATGACGAGAACCTCCCCTTGTACATATTCATTTATCCTAAAAAAAGATACCCTTTTCCCCTGCCTGAGGAAGCATGGCTTGAAAATTATTTCCCACGATCACTTATTTGCTGTAAATAAGTTACTTTGCATGACAACTTCTTGATGTGAATTTCTTAGAACTCATCAAGAAGCATGACTACAAATTTAGGTGGACAACAAAACCTGAGTCTGATCGAGCCCAGAATCCAGTTGTCAACATTCAGGTACTACTGAAAACAGAGGAATAGGCTGACTGGCACTGACAATAAACATCAACAAAATCTAGATCATGGAAAATGTATAGGCTAAATGGCCTGGATTCTGTTACCTGTAGCTTATGGGACTGAAATGACACAGTATCAAAACAAAATAGGCAAGATTAAATCATACATTTAGGGATGAACTTCAGGGTGATAAAAAGGAATGAAACAACTGTACTGCAAAAGAAACTGTCAGGAGAGTGAAGAGACAACCGACAGAATGGGAAAAAATA